CACGTTGGAAAACATGATCAGTTTAAGTCTTTGTCAAGAAGCACCTGGATGATTCCCATCGGAACACAGGTCCCATTATTTACAGTATGAAACCAAAAAATGGTTCAATAGATTGCTGAGGTTATTTTTTTCTTTTTTTGAATAAATAATTTGAATGCTGATGAATGTTCTTATTTGAAAACGTCAAATGTCAAATTTGTTTAAAAATCTAGTCTGACCATTGTACATTAATCAGAAGCTGAAAAGTTACATTCAGAATAATTAAAACATAATAATAATAATAATAATAATAATAATAACAACAACACATATAGTTTAAGCACAATAATAATACATATAGTATATAGCCACACACTAAGTGCACACTTAAATTATGCAAATCCACGACACATATTAAATATGTTAAAAGCAGACATTTTTGTGTGCTGTTGGTTTATTAAGGACAAAATCTTTCTGCTAAAAATGAACAAAACCATAATACACAAACTAAAATTTCGTTCTTATATACAGTACATATTAATTGAAAAGTAATATGTTGTTGCATAGTAGTGATCACTGTCTAATTTCACCAAGAATTACTGTCATTTTACACGTCAGCTGGTGCCGATGAGGAAATGGATGTAATGAGTTTACTGTAGATTCATAAATGCCTCAATATTTCTCAGTCATTCTCAATGATTACTGGATTGTTTTATCTGGGTTAATGTCGCCCTCTAGTGGGCAGTTTATGCATAACTGTATTCTACAGTGATTCAATATTAATCTCAGTCATTTGTGATTTACCTTTAGTCTTTAGTGTAATGCAAAAGAAATTAATATTATTGTAATATGGTATTATTAAAATACTAGTATTTTAGTAATATCAATACAATAAAATATTAATTTAAATATATAATTTTATTTCTACAAAAAATAATCAGTCGCCCTCTAGTGGGCAGTTTATGCATAACTGTATTCTACAGTGATTCAATATTAATCTCAGTCATTTGTGATTTACCTTTAGTCTTTAGTGTAATGCAAAAGAAATTAATATTATTGTAATATGGTATTATTAAAATACTAGTATTTTAGTAATATCAATACAATAAAATATTAATTTAAATATATAATTTTATTTCTACAAAAAAAATCATTAAATTATTATTTTTGTTTTTATTTATCCAAGTATAGTAAATGTGTATGTCCCTAACATTATTTTGAATGGGCTATATACAAAAAAATAATAATAATAAACAAGAAATTAAATGAAACAAATTGAAATTCTGTGCTGTTTTTTGTTTGTTTATTTTTCTAAAATATTTCATATATTTTTAGATCACGCAGAACTTTCTGTTCAACCATGTCACGCTGAGAGAGACTGCAAATATTAAAAAATATTTAGTTTAAAAATAGTAGTTTTTTTTTTTGTATAAAATTACAAAATAAAAGTTTGGTCTTTATGAAATGAAATCATTTTGATATGCTTTTTTTTTAGGTAAGGCACTGAATTGTAAAATAATAATAATAATACATTAATAAAATAAAAAATATACATTTTTATCTCAAAATTCTGACTTTTTTCTTGCAATTCTGAAAAGTCAAGTCAGCTTTATTTATACAGCACTTTTAACATCAAAGCAGCTTTACAGAATTAAACAGGAAAACAGTGTGTCAATAATGCAAAGGACAATAGTAAATAGACAAAAGTCAGAAATATTAAATAAAAAGTCACAGTTACCTATTTTATTTTTTCATTGTGGCAGAAAGAAAAAATAACAATTGCGAGAAAAAAAGTCAGAGCTGCAAGACACATGTAATGAGACGTAATGGGGTTATGTATTGTCCCAATTATAATTTATATTAATGCAGCCCTGGTACTTTGGGCATAAGGTTGTATAATATGATTTTTTTTTTTTTTTAAAGTAGCAGTAATCCTATAAAGTTTATTCTGTGCTGTTTTTTGTTTGTTTGTTTTTCTAAAATATTTCATATATTTTTAGATCACGCAGAACTTTCTGTTCAACCATGTCACGCTGAGAGAGATTGCAAATATTAAAAAATATTTAGTTTAAAAATAGTTTTTTTTTTTGTATAAAATTACAAAATAAAAGTTTGGTCTTTATGAAATGAAATCATTTTGATATGCTTTTTTTTTAGGTAAGGCACTGAATTGTAAAATAATAATAATAATACATTAATAAAATAAAAAATATACATTTTTATCTCAAAATTCTGACTTTTTTCTTGCAATTCTGAAAAGTCAAGTCAGCTTTATTTATACAGCACTTTTAACATCAAAGCAGCTTTACAGAATTAAACAGGAAAACAGTGTGTCAATAATGCAAAGGACAATAGTAAATAGACAAAAGTCAGAAATATTAAATAAAAAGTCACAGTTACCTATTTTATTTTTTCATTGTGGCAGAAAGAAAAAATAACAATTGCGAGAAAAAAAGTCAGAGCTGCAAGACACATGTAATGAGACGTAATGGGGTTATGTATTGTCCCAATTATAATTTATATTAATGCAGCCCTGGTACTTTGGGCATAAGGTTGTATAATATGATTTTTTTTTTTTTTTTTTTTAAAGTAGCAGTAATCCTATAAAGTTTAAGACAAAACAAAAAAAAAAACAAAACAAAAAAAGAAATAAATCCTAAAGCTTTCTAACACAAACAGCCTAAGCGTCATTTCAAAAATACATAAGTAATAATATTCTATTTTATTAAATAATCAATCAGCAACAAATCTATATTGTCCTAAACTAATTGCATTAATCTCTTTATTAATATAAAAACATTATAACGCACATGAATGGATTTGGCCTTCCGTTCTTAACCCTAAAACATTTCATTTACTGGAACTTCCATAGGAAATATAGCAGAAACGTCCATTTATCAAAAGAGTCTTTGCCCTGATCAAAGCTCTACACAGAGCAGAGATGAAGACATCCAGAGATTCACCTCATTTATCCATCAGCCTCGCGCTTGCTTTTGTCATTCTGCTTGTTATGTTGGTCTTACCCACTCCTGATGTCTCCTCTCACTGCATTTATTTCTGTTGCTGCAGTGAATCCAGATGATGTCCACTTGTCACTGATCAGCTGGAGCTGCATTAACATCTGTCAGTGAGTCAAACCTAGACCGATCTCTCAAGATTTATTGAGTCAAATGATTCAGTATCAGCTTGCTCACCGACAACAGCACAAGCTAGTTGATGTCAAACCTACAAACAAGGAAAGAGCATTGTTACAAAATAAGCTTGCCATATATATATATATATATATATATATATATATATATAATGTAGGCAGTTATCGGCATAATTGGCCATTATTGCTATCACAACAACACAGTAAAGTAATTTTGTATTGATCATTGTGGTAAGAAATTAGAATAAGCAGAAAATTTTAGTGTACCAGTCACTGCATGATTTATACTGTATATTTGTTGCAAACAATGCTGTATCTTCAACTCCCTTGTACAGTAAGTAATGTGAAAGAGCTACCTGAATATAACACTTGTCCCTTATATAAAAATAAGCCCTGCTGCCAACCACCCTCTGCCTAGGTTCCTTTATCCCTTATACTCCAGCAGTCAAGACAACAATAACCACTTTTCTATATTTTACAACCCTGGATTTTCACTCGTAGCATTAGGTCATACACGAGTCACTACCTGGCGCAGTAAACAATGCAGCTATTGTAAATGTTGTCCCGGGGTTCAAGCCCTTTAAGGCATTTAAGCAAACATGAGAAAAGACATTACTAATTATTTAGCAAGCCTGTTCCTACCTAAAATCAATGACTAAAAAGGGCATTTTTGGCAATTCCAGGTATTTTTTTTTATTTACCTGTATAACTGTTATATCGCCACCTATAGCACATTCTCCATAAAAGTTGGCATGCTTCTTTAGAATCATATGCTGCATGTGCTCGCCTAGTTTCATGAAGTTTTGAGTTTAAGTTTAGGATTTATAGGTTTTGAAATTTAATAATTTGTCCTAAACGACCCTGTTATATCTAACCAAAGTTTAAAGATCAACCTTTCTGATAATTATTGACCTACAGAGCCCAGAGAATTGTACTTCAGTGCTTTCTGGAGGTTAAGCGAAAAAACAGAGACTAGTTTGCAAAAGTAGTGTTTTTTTTAACAATCTTGATTAATTAACAAAGATTTGATTGACATCAGTGGTTCCTGAGGCAAAGTTCTATCATATGACACACATAAACGCAATATTCAATCGTTTACACACTTGAAAAATGTGATGTCGCCCCCCAGTGGCTGATTTTTTTCAAATTTTTTTACAGACGTTTAGGGCCATGGGCCGAACACGCCAGCGAGTTTTGTTCCAATTGGCCTCTGTTAACCGTGTCTAATAGGTGCTCAGATTTCATTGGCCGATGGCAGCCATGATTTTTGAGATATGTGAATGTCCTCATAGACACTTATGGCACATTGGACAGAGACAATGCATGTGAATTTTCAAGTCAATCGGACAAACGGATGCAGTTATTGTCATTTTATATTTTTGTCCTGTTATAGCGCCACACAGTGGCCAGACTCTCATGTGACCTCAGATTGAGGTCTTACATATGCATATCGAGTTTGGTGTAAATATCTCATCCTGTTGAAAAATTATAGCTAATTCAATAAAAGTGGACCCGCCCCTTTCGAACGTTTTGGTGTCCCTTTGAGAAGGTGAATCGAAAACTAACGTTTTTTTTTTTTTGCTATTTATTGCTATTCACTCTCCAGAGAATTTTTCTGCACTGGTTTGGTTCTAATTCGAGTGAAGAACCTAGGACTAGTTCACAAAAGTAGGTTTTTAAAAAAATCGAAAATAGCCGAATATTTTGCCACTCCATTCCAGCGATATAAAGCCTCGTACACACCGGGACGATTATCGTGCGCGCTTATCGCCAACGTTTTTCGCCGCGTCTTTTGTGTTCATACCCAAGCGATTTTCTCTGGCGATGAGCAGAGTGAACGTGCAAATTCACTCCATGACATTAGATGGCGACATACCCCGGTGCACATCGAATCCTATTTGATCTGCAATTCCTCTCCATACCAACTCCCTCTTATCGAGATTTTTGTAGTCGCTGTCGCGTTTGTCATAAAGCCGTTTGTGTTCAGACACCAATGAGACCAGCAGCTCTACATTCATCTTGCCTCGATGCATCTTCTTGGTCTACTTACTTCCTCTTTGTTGTTAGGTATAAATGTGTGCTCGGCAAGACCATTTTGTGCTTGAGCGCCACCAAGTCGTGTTTTACTGTAACTTCAGCAGCTCCAGGCACGTGAACAAAAGCGCCAATCTCATTGGTCGGCCAGTTTTTAACGCGGCACATCAAACCAAAAAAACGAGCCCGAGGCATTTTTAAAAAAATGATGCTTTTACGCCTCGCGTTTTGCGCATCGGTGTGCACACTCACATTGGCGCCCTTTGTTTAGTCAAGAGGCGTTAAATGTCAGCGATAATCGCGCGTGATATTCGTCCCGGTGTGAACAAGCCTTAAAGCTGTATGCTTTATGCTGACCAATTGCTATTCACTAGTTACATATTATAATGACAATTTTTGAACCTGAACGTTCAAACCATGCAAGTCAATTCTTATACATATCGCGCGCGATATTCGTCCCGGTGTGAACAAGCCTTAAGACACTTGAGCCTGTGACTGACGGATTAGTAGTTATAAGCGTTTTCGTTCTTTTGATCGCCGTAGCGCCCCCGTCAGGCCGATTGGGGCGAGCCTTGGTGACGTTGTAGAAGGTGAGGGTACTACCATCCCTCAAAGTTTCAGGTCTCTACGCCTTACGGTTTGGACTGCCCGATCATTTTTATGTCAGAATGGTGATCTTTGAAAATCTTTACAATAGGGCTTCGGCGCTATGCACTTGAACCCCTAAAAAAGAAAAATATTTATTAATGTAAGCTTCATATAGTTTTAAAAAACTTAATATCATTTTGACAAAGACATGATGATATAATAAATAAACATTAATAATATAAAAAATATTTAAATTAATTTACATTTTATACATTTGTTTTTACAGACATTATTTTTTTTTATTTATACAATTTAAATAATGTATATATAGTTTAATTATGTTTACTGGTTGTACCACATGGAGAAATGTTAAAGAGCAATGAATCAGTTTATTTATTAATTTTCTTCCACTTAAGAAATAATTAGATTTTGCCAAAAATAATTAACCAGGGTTTCTTTATAATAATTTCATTCTTTTGATATCAAAATGAGGTTTAATTTATTAATTAAAACATGTTCAGCATAGAAGAGATGCATTTAAATCAGTCCTTTTAAAACAGTAAAGAAATACTGAAATAAAGAAATATTAATGAACAATGAATCAGTTTTGTTAAAAAAAACAAAACAAAACAAAAAACTTACAAAAATAAAAAAAAAATTTTGCCAAACTATTTAATCAGAGATTTTTTTCCCCAATAAGCCACTGACTAGATTATAATTTTGAATAAAATATAATACATAATATCCACCAATTACATTTACTTTGTGATTTTTAAAGTAATTGACTCATTGACTTGACTCAATATTTGACAAGGCAGTGAAAAGTTACATTTATATATAAAATCAGGGAAAAAAATTATAACTGAATGATACTTGATGAAAAACGTGATTAAGTCATGTGACAAAAATGTAGCATACTGCTGTATGCTAGATTTCAGTTCCAAACACCAAGTATGCTTCAGTCTAAAGTTTATTCTTTGATTACCTGCGTCAGTCTTCTGACTCAGTCCCTGTGGGATTGTCTACAGTTACGGGCGCCACCAGCCGCTCATACGACACCACCATCATGATCTGTCAATCACAGAGATGTCTCAGCGTGTTTTCATACTCTCATGTGTGGACTAGCTGCTCCAGACAGTCACACGTGTGCATCTGGACTCACGGTGAGTAGGGCGAGCAGACCCATCATCAGCCCCAGCATAATGTACAGGTTAAAGGTCAGACCGCCCGCCCAGAGAGGCCCGAGAATGGTGGCCAGTCCTCCGACAGAGCGCCGAATCCCCTGACTGAATCCTGAACACAAACTGGCCTGAACTTCGGCAAACACTGACTTGGAAACCAGAAAAACTAGAAACGTTTGGTGCTTTGTATGTTTCTTAACAAAGCCTCCCCTAAAAGTTAAAAAAGCCTGAGAGTTATTTTTGTGCAAAGGTGTGGTCACTAGGGAAGCTTGTTTCCACCACTGAATAAAAACGGTAAAAACTGTAACTTATCTCACAATTCTGACGCTTTTCTCACAATTACGAGTTTATATCTCACAATTCTGAGAAAAGTAAGAATTGCAGGATATAATCTCGCACTCTCGAGAAAGTCATAATTGCGAGAATAAAGTCAGAATTGCGAGATATTGACTTGAAATTGCAAGAAAAATGTCATAATTGGAAGAAAGTTAACATTTTGAGAAAATAGTCAGATTTGGGAGAGAAAAGAATTGCGAGAAAAAAGTCAGAATTGCGAGGAAGTAAGAATTGCGAGGAAAAAGTGAATTGTCAGAAAAATGTCATAATTGCGAGAAAAAGCCTGAATTTTGAGAAAATAGCAGAATTGTGAGAAAAAAGAATTGCGAGAAAAAAGTCAGAATTGCGTGAAAAAGTAAATTGTCAGAAAAAGTCAGAATTGCGACTTAAAAAATTAATTGCAAGAAAAAGTTAATTTTGAGAAAATTGTGAGAAAAAAGAATTGCAAGAAAAAGTCAGAATTTCGAGATATAAATTTGAAATTGCAAGAAAGTTAAAATTTTGAGAAAATAGTCAGAATTGTGAGAGAAAAGAATTGCGAGGAAAAAGTGAATTGTCAGAAAAATTTAATAATTGCGAAAAAAAGCCTGAACTTTGAGAAAATAGCAGAATTGTGAGAAAAAATTGCGAGAAAAAAGTCAGAATTGCGTGAAAAAAAGTCAATTGCGAGAAAAAGTGAATTTTGAGAAAATTGTGAGAAAAAAAGAATTGCAAGAAAGAAAGTGAATTGTCAGAAAAAGTCATAATTTCAAGATATAAACTTGCAATTGCAAGAAAAAGTCAGGATTGCGAGAAAAAATGAATTGTCAGAAAAAGTCAGAATTGCGAGATATATCACAATTCTGAGAGAGAAGCCAGTATTTTGAGGTATTAAGTCACTTTTAAATTTTTTATTCAGATTAGCGAAATTTTGTGGGCACATCCATGTGACCAACCCGTTGAACCCATTGCGAAATTTACATGGCGAATTCGTTCCAATTCGCTTGGATTTTCATTGACTAAATTTTGCCCCCTGAAAAAAGACGCTGAAGAATGGTAAATGTGAACGTGCCTCAAGTGTTCCGACTTGTTTTGAGGCACTTGGTAAGCAGCTACTATGTTCTTAGGACTAACCTTGCGTCTTCTCTGATGTAATTTTTGAGAAGAGAGACACCTGGGCGACTGCCACAAAAGGAAGGCCCAGGACCTGAAGGAAAACACCAATGATGAACTCCGCCAGCTGCCACGCAAATCCACCTGAACCAAAGAAACATTTGTGAGCCGTGAGGGATTTTAGAGCTTATGAGCACAACATCCACAGTTCTGTGTGTTCGTCTTACCCTGAGGATTGGCCAGGAAGATCAAGCACCAGACACAGGAGATATTGCAGAGGATGAGGCCGACGGCCAGCACCACTCGCTCCGCCACACGCTTGCTCAACCAGCGCACGAACAGGAAGCCAGCGATCACCTCGACGCCACACACACAGTACATGATGCTGTTCTCCAACTCGCCAAAGTTAAAGAACTTCTGCGTCAGAGGAGTCACCATAGTCTAGAGGAACGATATTATCAAACAAAATATTGCACTTAAGAAATAATTATTTGTCATATAAAGTAGTGCAAGTGATTTCCACCAGATATAAATGTAAATGCCTTTTATTCTCCAAAACAATTCCTGAATTTGAACTGAATAGAGAAATTGGATGCAGAATTGTAATTCAAATTTAAATTTAGGGAAGAAGAAACAAAAATTTAATAATTTAATCAATTTAAATGTTTTAAATCTTATCTATATGTAGTATTTTATTTAAATATGTTTCATTATATGTAATAAATTAACTTTAATTCTATGGAAAAACTCAAAACAAAGTGGCAGACTCTTTGTGGTGCTATATTGCATAAGTAACATTTGTTTTAAAGGCATGTTGACATTTTTCGGGTTTGCCGCAAAATGTCAAATCTGAATTAAATGATCAGAATCAGAATCTGAATTACAATTAATTTCATTTAAATAAAAAATCCTATCGTGAGTGGGCAATTCGAATTCTTGTTCAAAATCCTCTGTGAATGCAGCGATTGCAATTTAATTCAAATTCTAATTTAAATTAATTCAATTCCAGTTCAACATTTTGTGGAGCTTGTGGCAAAGTCAATTCAAATTCCAAATCAAATCAAATCAAATCAATTCAAAACCTAATTGTTTCGAATTCCAATTCAAAGTGTTATAGAATGTGTGGCAAATTTAAATTCAAATTCCAAATCAACCTTCTGTGAATTGTGTTTCAAATTCAAATTCCAAATCAAGCCAATTTCAGTTCCAATTTAAATTCCAATTCCAATTCAACATTCTGTGAAGTGTATGGCAAATTCAATTCAATTTCCACATCAAATCAAACCAATTCTAATTTAAGTTCAAATTCAAATCCATTTAAATTCCAATTCAGTCTTTTATGGAATGTGTGGCAAATTTAAATTCACATTCAAGTCCAAATCAATTCAAATTCCCATTCAACATTCTGTATAGTGCGGCAATTTCAAATCAAATCAAATCCAATTCCAATTCCAATTCAAATCCATTCAAATTCCAATCCAACATTCTGTGGAGTGTGTGAAAAATTTAGTTAAAATTTAATTCAAATCAAGTCAAAATTCAATTCAAATTCATCCAATTCAACATTTGTTGGCGAGTGTGGCCTATTCAATTTAAATTCCAACACATTAACTAACAGTGTCAATTATTAAATTCTTAATTTTACCAAACCTGCTACTTTAGGAGTGTGTGTTTGTGTGTGTGTCTGAAAGCAGAAACAATGAAACTCACAGATGGATTTTAAACCAAACTCATTCCCATAGAGAGTCTGAAATTTAGAGTACAATAACCTGTTTTTATTAGATCAGTCAGCAAACACTGAAATATGTCAAACTAGTTTTCCAGATTTGGTTTATATCAAGAGTGCTTCAAACTTATCTGAACATGTAGTGTGTGGTGTTCAACACTACCAAGCATCTTATAAATTAAGGTTTTAAGAAAAGTTATTTTGAGTAAAGCAGCTTTGAAAGTCTAACAACAAATTCTATGGCAATCCTATTAGTATACTAAGAAGTTGCATTGTTTACTTATAATATTGAATAAAAAAAAAATCAATCAAGTTTTAATAGCATAAAGGTGTTTTTAAATTTTAATCGACTCAACTGAAAATCACTTTCCATTCCAGAATTGTTAATACATTTTGAATAAGACACAAAATGTCCTATTTTCAGCTAACAAGGCTTCCTTAAAGAGGTCATATGACGTTGCTAAAAATAACATTATTTTGTGTATTTGGTGTGATGCAATGTGTTTACGTGGTTTAAGGTTAAAAAACTTATTATTTTCCACATACAGTACATTATTGTTTCTCCTCTATGCCCCGATTTTCTGAAATGCGTAGATTTTTACAAAGCTCATCGGTCTGAAAAAGCGAGGTGTGCTCTGATTGGCCAGCTATCCAGTGCGTTGTGATTGGCCGAACACCTCAAGCGTGTGACGGAAATGTTACGCCCCTCACCATATTTGGAAACACACAGCATCTCCACGACAACAATACTACAGCGAGAAAAAAAAGTTACGCCTTCTTTCTTTGCGTAAACATTTGGGCGGCGTTACACAAATCGTCCAACACAGTGATGTAGACATGTGGGGGCGTGTTTAAACAATACGTTTTAGGAGGGCGTGGACGAGTCTTAACTTTTATAAAGAATCTCTCTTTGGGATTGAGACTTTAGTCTTTGCAACTTTACAGATCTTATCTATTCACGAACAGCTTGTAACACTCCAAAGACAAAGGAAAGCTTGAAATCGCATCATATGACCCCTTTTCTAGTCAACATTTTCTTTGAATTCCTGTTATTCTGATTTTGAAAGTCCGTGATTTTGCTCTCACCCCTGCTGGCACTGAAGTTCTTGAAAGGACTGGAGTTGACCTCCTCAGGGGGAAGTGAAGGCAGAGGGGAAACATGGGTCACGTCTCCGTTGGCCACTGAAGAGGCTCTGGACTGGACGCTGGTGACCGTCCCGTATGAGCCAGTGAGCTCGTTGGGCCCAACCAAAGGTTTTCCCTCTTCTTCTTCCTCCTGTTCCACCTCCTCCCGCTCCACTCCGTTCCTCTGACGCGTTTCGTCTTGAGGAGTGAAGTCCCAGTACATGAACAGGACTACAAACTGAAGGAGGATCCACAGCAGGCACATGAAGAGCTGAAACACAACAAATATATTTGTTTATTGTACGTTTCCAGATGCTTCAAACAACGTCGACAGGAAAATCTTCAGGATCTTACCCCAGGGGAAGTGTATTTGTTCACTGTAAAAGGTCCGATCTGGAAGTTACAGAGTCTGAGAAAGAGATTGAATGCAGGACCTAGAAGTACAAGTATGAACTAAATACAGAGAATTAAATATGTATGTAATATGTAAATTAAATATGTCATATAATTGTAATTAATAAATATATAATCATTCAATTGTATTTTAAAAGTATTATAATAAATATTCAAATTTAACTTTTTAAGTTGTATGTTGAGTAAAACATTTGCTGAATATAAACAGGCATCGAATACTGAAATGCTGAAATGCGCAATTCTAATTTTCATGTATGGTCTGCTAATTTATTTTTACTGACCAATGAGCAGCCCTGCTTGACGGCAGGCCATAACCGCAGCGAAAACAGTCGAACGGTCCTCAGGGGCTGTATTTCTAGTCAAGAAGCCAAAGATCGATGATCCAGCGCCAGTGCCAATACCTAGAGCATTAGAAACTGGTTAAATCACTAAAGCATTAAAATAGACATAACCTTAAAGAATTAGACTGAAACGTCACCTGCAACTAGACGACTGCAGAGCAATAACCATCTGGAGTATCCCATAAAATACATGAAGTTACCTAAAAACAGACAGAAAGAGATGTTACCCACGAGCCACCAACATTGCAAGTGTTGTCTTCATTTAAAGGAGTAATTCATACATTTCTTCATCAGATTTGGAGAAATGTAGCATTACATCACTTGCTCACCAATGGATCCTCTGCAGTGAATGGGTGCCGTCAGAATGAGAGTTAAAAGCATCTTAATGATGGATTTGTTTTTTATAAACACGCAGCTTTTGGCTTCACAAGATGTTAACTGGTGGACTGGAGTGCTGTGGATTATTGTGATGTTTTTATCAGCTGTTTGGACTCTCATTCTGACGGCACCCATCCACTGCAGAGCAGCCATTGGCGAGACAGTGATGTAATGCTACATTTCTCCAAATCTGATGAAGAAACAAACTCCTCTTGGATGGACTGAGGGTGAGCACATTTTCATTTTTGGGTGAACTGTTCCTTTAAGTGTAAACTTACCAACCATCTCAAAGACATTGGCGAACAGGATGATTTTCTTGGTGGAGAGTGTGCGATCTGACCAGAAGCCAAACAAAGGACCAGCGAGAAGCCCGCTGAAGCTGAACGCTGATAGGCTGAGACCAAGAAAGTACGGTGCGGCATTTAACGTCTGCAGATACCTCCATATTGTGGGCAAAATCACAGCTGAAATGAAAACAGACATACATATGGGCACATCTGATCTGGTATTTTAACTATTAACTTGAAGGCTAGTTAGATTAGTAACTAATGGCAGTTCATTAACAGAAACTCTGTGACTTACTGATCTGAACAAATCTTAAGAATCTCTGAACACAAAGAGCGATTCTGGGACAGGCATGTCGGAAAATTTCTCATATATAAGATAGGTTTTATTACAAACAAGTAACAATTCAATCACTGTTATTAGTAACATCCCGTTATACATTTGTGATGAATGTGACACAGTCTCTTTGTTATTATTGAGGGGTTATTTACATCAAGAATTATCTTGACTACTGAAATATCTAGCTACAGTATTACTACTTAATGTTCCATTATTCTTTGTTTTATATACATTCATATGGAGTCCAAATAAAATAATAAACTAATAACAAAAAATATACCAGTAGCTTAAAGTATTGCGAAGAGTGTTAAATTAACGATGGTAATTGTAATCCACATCCATTCAAATTCGAGTTCAACATTCTGTAGACTGTGGGGTCGATTTGATTCAAATTCTAGTTCAAATCAAATTTCAATGCAACATTTTGCGGAGCTTGTGGTAAGTTCCAAATTAAATTAAATTCCAAATGAATTTAAAGTCCAATTAAACATTTAGTGGAACGTGTGGCAACTTCTAATTCAGATCAATTCACATCCAAATCAGTTCAAATTCCAATTCAACATAATGTGAAGTGAGACAAATTTCATTCAAATTCCAATTCAAATAAAATAAAAATCAATTCAATATCCAATTAAATAGTCTGTTGAGTGTGTGGTTAACTGAATTCAAATTCCAGTTCAAATCCATTCAAATTCAAATCAATTCATTAAGAATTTTCCTGACTACTGAAACTTTGACCATATTATTTATTATTTTATATGTTTATATATGCATTTTTTATTTGATATAAGAAATGCATAATACTAATACTAATACTAATAATAATAATGCACACACAAAAAAACACCTACATTTAATGATGTAATGCCAAACTGCTTATGTAAATACTAGTATGTTAAAATAATTGTACTATGGTAATAGCGTCTGACACTATCAATATACAATTCATATTACACTATGGGTACTGGTTATCACCAATAGTGTAATATACAAATGTAAACTATTGTCCACAACACTATGCCGGACTCACCGTACTCAATGCCGCTCAGTAAGAAGATCAGTCCTATAGTGAAGAAGGTCAGTCTCCTCTTGCGTCTATAGTCCATCTTACTCTCTGTTTGATATGTATGACTTTTCAGAGATTTTGACCCATATTATCGCGGCACGTAATGATCAGGACACTGCGACCAATTACTGCAGCGCTCTCAGTGCTCTCTACAGCACTGCATACTACACAAGCGCGCTCTAAAAACACAGTCCTGTTTAAAACAATAGGTGCATTACTTGAACGCCGTGATTTTGACGGCCGCAGTGAAGCACGCACTCTCTGGCGTCACTACCGGTTGCCGCTACGCTGATCGCCTTCACCTTGGTATTAAAAGTTCGACTAAATTATCAAGAAAATTATTTAAACTACGCACAACCGATAACAGGATTTTCATATATATTTTTTTAAATATAATGAACATAACCATGACATGAAAGATTAACCGCACACCATGTCTCCTACTCAGCTGTTAAACAATTATGACCGCAAATTCAATCATTTTGACTATCTGCTAAACTGATATTCAATGTGCTGTACTAAAAATATTTGGAAATACTTTTTTTTCAACGCATGCACTTGTAATGTACCCTCTCACTCGAAATCTGCAAAATCAAAAATCCCAAGCCCTAACATTACATAAAATCAATTGTTGACTGCTAAATTGATCAATTTATCAAAACCCCAGACTTAGACCAGTAACATCTCTTTCTGTCTGTTTTTAGGTAACTTCATGTATTTTATGGGATACTCCAAATGGTTATTGCTCTGCAGTCGTCTAGTTACAGGTGACGTTTCAGTCCAATTCTGTAAGGTTATGTCTATTTTAATGCTTTAGTGATTTAACCAGTTTCTAATGCTCTAGGTATTGGCACTGGCGCTGGATCATCGATCTTTTTTTTTTAAATTGGATTATGTTTGGATATGTTTTACAGTTGGATTATGAAAGTTATTATAATTAATTACACACAATTATACAAAAGTAAAAGTGTAAATTGTTTGATTTTAAGCCATTCTTTCTGTTTTACAATGACAGTTACAAATGTGTATGTATTTATTGCTGTAAAATGACAAATATGGGGTTTACAATGGGGTTTCCACATTTAATGATGATCAAATATCCGCGGAAGCCTGTTTCTGCCACTGATTAAGAACAATTAAAATGGTAATTAGGACTTATCTCTTGACCTTTTTTTTTTCTTGCAATTGCGAATTTACATCTCTCAATTCTGACGACTTTCCTGAGAATTGTGAGATATAAACGTGCAATTGCTAATTATAAAGTCCATTTTGGGGGGGGG